AGCCATTTCTTTTAATCCCTACTTTTGATTTTTGAAGAAATTTGAGCTCAACTTAAATCCATATTTGATCTCTGGCCCAAACTTTGGTGGTGGATTTCTGGGTTCTGCTGAAGGAATCCTAATTACTCTCTTGCGTTTCTGAACTGTTTACAAAGATCCTATTTTGAAACTATTCCTGCCTTTGCTCTTTGGGTAAAATTATCCCAGATTTTTTTTTTATGACTTTTTGCCTCTCTCTCTTTCTCTTTTTTCCTTTTAAATTCTTATTTGCTCTTATCTTTTTTTCTCATAAAGAATTTCCCTTGGTCTTCATAGCTCTACCTTTTCTCTCTCACATATATGTCTTCCCTTTACCTCCACCCATCTTCTTGTCGTGTCTCCTTTTACAGTAAGTACAAGCAGAGATTGCTAACACACAGTTGCACAGGGAGGTGGTCCTCACCTTGTCTTTGTGACTCCCCATTGCCTTTCATTATATCCTTTGAGGAGTAGCCCTGTAATACATGACTGATGTTTTCTGAAGGGGACATCATCCCACTGATATAAGCATGCTACAAACCTTAACAGCTATGACTGCAGCTCTCCTAGGCCAATCTCTATAAAGCAACAGTTGGCTGAAACATTTTATTGAGCATGATACCATTTGATTGATAAGAACAATTGACTATGTCTCTATCGCCCCTTCCCAAAGTATTCTTTACATTATGTAGATAGTGTATTTAAACAATTTGCTTATTTTTAAGTCTCTTAATTAAAAACATTGATTTCAATATTTAAAATAAAAAAATAATAAAATATTCAACGTAATCATATGTTCACAGGTATATATTTAAACATTTCTAAGGCAATTTTACCCCAAGAAAATTTATTCAATCAACAAATACTTATTGACTACCCACTGTGTGCTCTTTTAATTGCTGGAAATACAGCGGGGAATATAACAAGGCTCTTGCTCTTACACAGCTTACATTTTAGTGGGAGGAGATAGATGAGAGGATCAATATGCAAAATGTATGTTAGAAGGTATTAAGTGTCATGAAGAAAAGTAAGGCAGAGAAGGGGAAAGAGGAGTGCTAGGATGAGGCATAGCAAAGGAGAGGGATGGCTGCAACATTTAATACGTTAGTCAGGGAAGGATTTATAGTAAAGGCAACATTTGAGCAAAGACTTGGTGGAAGTGAGGAAGGCAGCCATTCAAATATCTGGGGTGAAAATTCCAGGCCAAGGGAACAGCAACAGCAAAGTCTCTAACATGAGAGAATGCCTGGCATGTTTGAGGAAACATGAAGGGATTTCGGTGGCTGCAGCAGAGTAAGCAAGGGGAGGAGGGAAGAAGATAGGGCACCAAGGCAGCAGAGTGGCTAGATCACATGGAGCCTTATATGTCTTTAGCTTTCCTCCAAAGTGCCATGGGGAGGCAATGGAGGGTTTTGAGCAGAACAATGAAATCATATCACTTATGTTTTAGCAGGATCACTCTTGTTGACATATGGAAAATAGACTGTAAGGGGGCGAAGAAGACCAGTTAGGCTATTACAAGAGAGACCAGGCAAGAAATTATGGTAACTTGGCCCAGGGTGGTGGCAGTGGGAATGTTGAAAAATAACTGGATTCTGGGTATATTTTGAAGGTCGAAGTTGACAGAATTTGCCGATGGATTGGATATAGAGTATAGTAGAAAGGGAGGAGTCAAGGAGGCCCTAAGGCTTGGACTAAACATTTAGAAGAATGGAGCTCTCACTTTCTGGGATGAGGAAGAGTGTAGGAAGAACGGTTCGGGGTGGGAGGAGATCAGCATATGCTGAGTTTGAAATGGAGTTTAGAAAAAGTCTAGACAACTTCCCAATAAATTAAAGGACCTCTTAGGAATCAGGAAACCTGTCATGTCTCAAGAAGTATTATTGATGAGCTCGAGGACCATGAGTGATTACTTTATCTCTGTGAACCTCAGCTTCTTTCTCTATGATTAGACTGAACCTGTTAAAATCCCTTCAAACTCTATGATTCTATTTTGTTCTTCATCGGTTTTCAGAAGATGGCTGATCACAATCCCTTTTTAAATTACTATGCAACTACACTATAAAGTAAAATATTTTGAAATGATGATATTTGATATTGAATATACAATTAATGATTTATTGTAAACTTTGGTACTAAAATTTTCATTTGAAAATAGGTGGGGAAAAGCCAATAAACAGAGGGAACTGGATTGCTTGTGGTTCTGTCATCTGTTATTGGAAATAGTGGAGGATGTCATTTTTCCCTGAGGGATTCAATGCGCTTTAGAGGTATTATGCTAAAATTGCATGTTAGTCTAATTTAAACCTCGTTAGAAGTGCCTGATACATGGCAGGCACTCAGTATGTGTTTGTGGAATAAATAGATCAATTGGTAAGTGAAAATGCTATAATCACTTTTACATAAGGTACCTTTCAGGATGTA